TTCCTTTTCGCGACGAAAAACTCCGTTTCGCCTTTCCTCGCGGTCGAATACGCGCGACGTTACGACCCTTTGTCGCTTTGGCCAGCTTTGCGCGTTGCGCCGACTTCGCTTTTCTCCGCCCGAGACTCTTTGCACGCCATATTCCCCGAGCTATACACACCGGCGTGGAATAATGGAACCTCTTACCCGAGCATATACACGAAGCGGCGGGGCACCTGTTCGATCGGACCAGTCGCCATAAAAGCCCAGGGGCCAAGGTAGCTTTTGCTTCCACACTTTCTTGCACGGACACGTATACACTCGTATAAGTACGAGGAGCATACGAAGGGCCGTACTTGAAAGTAACGACCACCTGTCCGCCCGAACGAGAAATTTCCTGTCGATTCGGGGCCCCGTCATCCGGCGGACATTAGCCACGGCCAGATTTCTGCGGAAGAATCGGCCCAGATTTTACCTGCTGTCTTTAAACTTTCTTTATATAATTTTATTCCTTCATTTCTTTCTTTCTTTTTCCGAGGAATTTGAAATTTTCCGTTTAAGGAAAGAAAAGAATGAAATTTATTTCTCAGCGATGGTTCAATTTTTAATTTTGTGGAGAGCCGTCATCATTGTTTTTTGGTTAAAATTTTTATTTTTGTACAAGAGAAATATCCGTAAAAGTCTGCAGATATATATATAGTGATCGTAAAAATATTGATGATCATAAATGACTACGTGTTTATTAAAAAAAAAAGAAAGAAAGAAAAACGAACGTCATTTTATTAGACATCGTGCAAAATTTCGTCAATTTTGACAAGCTGCCCGCTTTCGTAAATCCTCGTAAATCCACGATCAAAGGATCCGCAGAATTGTCAAGGTTTCGAACCCGCATACTATGTAGCCAAATTTCCGCGACAAGCCGCTTTCCGCCCACCTTTGACTTTCACCGCCGATTTTGGCGCCTCGTCCGAAAACAATACACTACTCCAACTATAATTAGAAACAAAATACTACTCCAACTGGAAAATTTTAAATATAATGGAACGGATTCGAAGGGACAATCGCATCGTTCAAACATCGATCACAAATTATTAATGTAAATATTTACACGTATCAAAAAAATGTAATAAAAAATTACTCGACTCCCTCGAATAATATCCTTTTTTCGAATATTGCAAATTGTATCCCTACCTGACATTTAATAGGCAAATAGAGAAGAAGCGTTTAATAACGCGCGACACAGTGTGACTATAAGGGGAGGGAGGGATCGTTGTGCGATTTAGCGCATCCATATGGGCGAGGCGATTGGACAAAAAGCTTGGATCGAGGGCAGGCAGAGAGCGGTGATTCAATTGCTGGTACGTGGCAAAAGCGCGTGGGATTTAATACGCGGCGCAGGTAGCCCGTTTGCTCTTGCCAATGAATTGAACGCATTTCGAACACGCGTTTGCCCGCCATATGTTGTTTGCTTCGCTAAAAGACCATTGTACGCCCCGCCAACGGCTATGAATGAACTTATGTGTGAATAAGTCGGACGAAGAGGCTGATACCTCGTGCCGATCGTGAAAACCGTTTCCTCGTCTCTATAACAAAGTGGTAAATCAGATTTGTATCGTGTATGATTCTTTTATATCCATCCCATTCGATTCTTATTTAAACGCGTTAATGCGACTCGCTTCCTATTTCTTCTCTCTCTTTCTTTTCTCCTTTTATTATCGAAACTCTGCACGTTGATTTTGGAGCACGCGTTCTCCATTTCTTTCACCAAATTTCACACTTTGTCTCTATCTAGTCGAGATAATCGTAGGCACGGGATGCAATTTTTCACGAATTCCACGATTTCTCCACACAAAAAAATCGTACCTATTTTTAAAAAAAAGGTTAAGAAAACGATTATTCTCTTCGAAATCGACGATTAAAAAATTATTGACAAACCATTTCCACAGATAGGAAAAAGGATTATATTTATCCATCGTCGAGAAATCTGTCGCCTCGCGATCGCTCCGTCAAGGGTGGATATTTAATCCTAGGTCGCCATCCCGCCACGAATCGAATCGAATCGATTGGATTCGTCTCGAAAGGGCCGAGGCTGGCCGCTGGCAACAATCGCTTTTATCGTGGTATCCTCAGCCTCCTTCGACTCGACGGATGGAGAGATAAACAGGATCCGCGTAGTCGCGTTGTTTGTCGAAAGACAAAGCGCATTATTATGCACGCCGTCGAAAGTTATGCCGTTGTTCCGCGATAACGAGCCCGTTCCGATATTCGAGGTGTCCGCCGAGATCGCATCTCGCGCTCCCTTCCTCGCGCCTCGAATCGCCGCCCAACGATATATATTTCGATTGATTCCTTATCGCGGCGCGGGATGAAGTTTCATTAATTGCACCACCGCTTGATTCCAGGCTTGTCGGGCTTAGTTATTAATACTTGTTGTTGGAGGGAGAGTTAACGACGAGTTAAGTCGTCGTTCGAATTGACGATCGGGCTTCGAAGTAATTAATCTTTCGCGTTCATAGATGTTGGATAATAATAATAATAATAATGACGATGATGTATTTTTCGAAGATGGCAAATTTTTCCATGGCACCGAAACCGGAATTATTCTGAAATTAAATTAACGTCTAATCAGTGCGAATGCGATGATAACGAGTAAATATGATGGTTTTTTTTATCGAATAATTAATCGAAACGGTGTATAATACGTTTGATTGCGTAAAAAAAAAAAAAGAGAGTTGGGAAAATGATTGGGATTGAATGACGGAGTATATGGTTGGCTTCCAATGGCTCCGTTTGTAAAGAAACGAGGCAGCCAACCGGGTAAGAGGGTATATACGTGTATTGGCTTGGACAACGTGGATGAAAGGCGTCCGTTCTTATAATTTAAAGAACGTTTGCGTTTATTTTATTAACGATTATAAAGAAACAGAGTAAGTACTCTGAAAGATGGAACGGCATAACTGAGTTATATTCGTAATAAAAGTTAAAGGAATCGAAATTGATTACGGTAATTTATTTTAACGTCGATGTATTTTTAACGAAAGAAACGAAAGATGGATAATATGGATGTCGGGTCTGGTAAAATCGTCGTAAACTTCTGTAAGATTTTAAAATTCAAGTAATTTATTTCGTATAAAATATCTTTATATATAAGTGATATCTCAAATAGCAGTTATTTTTTCTTTACAAAAAAAAAAAAAAAAAAAAAAAAAAAAAAAGGGGCGTACCCCCCCCCCGCCCGAGCACCCCCCCCCTTTTTCCTCCCTTTTTTTTTTTTTTTTTTTTTTTTTTTTTTTACAGAAATATATTTCAAATATAAAGAAAAAAATATACCACGGATATATCGTTTTTTTCGACGGCTCGATCATTTTAATTTATATAATCTTTTTCGAGCGATCTCTCTACGAGGAATATACCAACAGACCAATCAAAGTAATTCACCTCGCAGCGAGCCTCTCATTCCTATTCCTCGCACAAATTAGATTATATTTATACAATGACTAGTTTCTTCGAGTAACTTACAGTGATTTACAAGAGAGGAAAAAAAAAAAAAAAAAAAAAAAAAAAAAAAAAAAAAGAAAACGCAAAGAAAAAAGTACAAAAAAAAGGGGGGAAAAAAACGAAAAGACAAAATGAACTGTAAAATATTAGCTTTCTCGCTCTCCGATTCTACCATCGTTTTGCCTCGTTCTCGTTTCATCAAAATCCAAATCTTATCTCGAAAAGGCAAGTAAAAAAAAAAAGAAACGAGAAAACTCGAACATTGGACCGTGTCGATACTTTTTCTCGTTTTTACTTCGTTCCACGTCCTGACGAATTAATAATACTTCGTTTTCTCGTGCGTGCCTTTCAAACAATATATATATTTACAATCGATGCTCGCACGTGGCACACGATCTCGAAAAAAAAAAAAAATGGCACTTTGCTGCACGATTACGCACAATATACGCGTTTCTTGTTTATTTCATTTTCTTCTACATATATATATATATTTTTTTTCTTTTTTCATTTTCAAAAGGAGCAAATGAGCGATGTCACTTACGAAGATCACTTTTTCAGCGTGTACGTGTATCCGCTCGAATCGATCGAAAACGGAAATTATCAAGGGAGATAAAAAAGAAAATAGGCGCAAAAAAAAAAAAAAAAAAAAAAAAAAATACAAAAAATGGCACGTCAGCTTCACGGGACCGCGTCAAGCGGTTATACATCGACTCTTCTCATCCGATTCTTTCCTGCGATTCTCTCATCGGCAAAATTTCGCTCGAAGGGTACGATAATAAAATCGTCTCTTCGTGTATCGTCCTCTAAGTACAATCGTTGAAACTCACCCATTCTCACCGATTTTCACACACGCGCACACCGAAACTATGTACAAACGGGACGACGAAGGAAATTCGACGAAAAGAAAGAGAACGAAAGAGAGAGAAAGAGAGAGGAAGAGAGAAGAGAAAGAGAAAATAAAGAGAGAGAGAAACATTAAGAAATGATCAATCATTTTTTATCTTTCAAAAGAGAGAAATAAATTCGAACGATCGCGAAACGAATCGATCCAATTTTTTTCCCTCTCGTTGTAAAAAAAAAAAACCCTTCGAGAGAACGCGTATCTAAATATGTCTTCGAATTCAGTTCCTCGACGTTGTGTTGTATCGATGATTCCGTTTTAAAATTCACCTCTTTGTTTCACGAGCGCGAATTTTAATCGAAAGCCAGGTACTCGATGTGTCTCCATCTTCTCTCAAGTCTCGGTCAAATTGTTTTCTTTCTTTCTTTTTTTTTTTTTTTTTTTTTGTTATTATTCCCCCTTTAAACACGAATTTCACCGAGAATTTCATCGACCCCCCTCCCCCTTCTTCGAGAAGAAATTTCTCCGATCGTGTCTCCGTCTAATTCCTCTATTCTATTTTGCTCTTTTGTACTCCGTAATCAACGCGTAAGGCACTTCGATCAATCGAACCGTTTAAAAAAAGTACGTACTATTATTCTTAATAAAGGAACGTGTCGGAAGGAATCCGTGGAAAGGGATCCCTCGTTCGGTACGACCGCACACCACCACGCCTTCGTCTTCGTCAATGTCCTCAAGAAGCGTAGCCCATCGGGACTGTTACGCCCGGGCATCCACCCTCCTGATGTTTAGTCAACAACGACATCCTGCTAAACGTTTTGCTGCACGAGGTGCACGAATATTTCTTCACGTCGCTGTGCGTCTGAAGGTGCGCCCTCAGGTTACTCCTGTCGGCGAACGCGCGGTTGCAATGCTGACAGCTGAACGGTTTCTCCCCCGTGTGCGTTCTGATGTGCCCTTGGAGGAGCCAGGGCCTGGAGAACGCTTTCCCGCAGAGATGGCACTTGCAAGGCAACGTGTGCGTTCTGATGTGCATTTTCAACGCGCCCAGGCTCACGTACACCTTCTCGCAGTATTTGCACGAGAACGATTTCTTCGCCTGCCCTTCAGCCGCAGCGCAATGAAATTGTTGGTGTTTCGACAACCCGGAATAGGTGGAGTACGATTTACCGCAATCCGGGCACTGGTATCTCGGGGACGTCGACGAAGAAGAGGACGAGGAGGAGGAGGATGAATTCGAAGACATGGACGCGGTTGAACTGCTCGACACTCCGGATTTCTCCATTTT